CGGCTTCGTTAATTTATCGAACTAAATTAACGAGCCGAACACGAGCTGTTCGCGAACAACGAGCCGTTTTGACAGCCCTACTTGTAACATTACACTGTAGTTGGATTTTTTCCGGCCAAACGCTTGGATTCTTAAAACCCTTGCAAAAGCAATGCAATGCATTAATTTTGCAGCCGACCAAACAGTTATGTCACATTGAGAAAATGATTGTGTTCTCATCCAGGCAGTTTAAGTCTAGCAAGGGATTGTATAAAGAGTAAATTTTTTTATAAAACTTTTAGTAAATGTGGCAAACTTCTGGAAAGAGTTGTCTATAAGATTATTTTAAATGCATAGAAAAATGTTAATTATAAAGACTTGATAGAAACATCCCTCAAAGTCTACAACTGGTTTTCCATTCAATTCTGACTTATCTTCCATTAAATTGATGAATGATAGGGAGCAGTCTTCAAACTACAACCTGTCTGGTACTTTGTGATTTTGATGCTATAGTTGAAGTCGTTCACATTTGTACTGTCTGGTACTTGGGATATTAATGTGAACGACCTTTTGAGGTTGTAGTAACGGTTAACCCTCAATCTTAACTTCTTTTTGAAATGATGATTTAGTGGAAGGCAAATGTACTATCCTACTACAACTGTGCTGACTTACTCCCTTTCATAACATGAATAACCCTTTGTTTTCTTACTTGCATTTTTAATAGTCATAATTTATTGTGTTGCCTGGCTTACTTCTCAAGGAAATTCACTTCTCAACATAGCATCTCATAAAATCATTATAACCTAGTTTTGATTGAACTTTTGAACCCTAAATATCATACATCAGTTGGAGCTTGTAGAATTTTCAGGTTGGATAGAGGTCACTGGATACATTACCTTAGCTTTGTTATGAATATAAATGAGGATAGTTAAACAACGAAGTATTTTTCTATTTTCTACAACTATCCACTGAACACCAACTATTTTCTAATCATTTGAGTATTACCTTTACAGCCCCAAAACGTTCGGCCCCCAGTTTCTGTACTGCAGGGATTTCCTGCTCCACCTTAAAATTATATGCATCCTGCAACCATGTATTCTGAAAGAATGATCTTCCAGCTTCCAATGTTATTGCTAGTTCCAGTCGCCTATTTGAGACTGAAGAAAACCTGCCTGATGAAGCACAACGTGGCGCTCCATGCTGAAGAAAATCAAGGGAAATTTCAAATTTTGTTTTTTTTTTTTTTTTGGCATTAAATTATGGATCGTGATGAAAAATGTCTATTTATTAATATGGATATTTGGGAAGTAAAGGAAATGAGGCTATTTGTGCTTTATGTTTGATATCTATGCCTGTGATAGATTAGGTTTCTGTGATGTCTGTAATATAAGGGATTTAGATCTGTTGAATTGACCTTGAATTATATTAATTTATATGTTTTGAATTTGTCTTTTTCTGGAATGTACAGTCTGAGTTGGAAATGAAAGTGGAAAGAATGACAAATGGGAGAGAGATACAATAACAACAACAACAAGCTTTTATCTACTAAGTGGGGTCGGCTACATGAATTCTTTTTCTTCATTCTGAGTGTCATATTTTCATTTTATTCTAATAAATTAAGATTATATTTTATACAATATGCCCAGTCTTTATAGGTCTATCTCTGTCTTTCTTAATATAAGTTGAATCTGAAACATCTATGCTCCAGCCGAATCATTAGATGGTCGATGTTTAATATGATCAAATCATTTGACGACCCTCTCTGGTCTTAATCTTATGCTTCTCTTATAAAGGCCAATTCTGTGCCGCATAGCTTTGCAGGTCTCACCGTCATCTTATAAAATTTTCCTTTCTGTCTAAGCGGTATTTTTCTATCACGCAATAGGCTTAAGCATTCCTCCACTTCAACCAACGCACTTGAATTCTACTAATAGCATTCCCATCTATATCACCACTATTGTCAAAAATTGACCCGAGATATCTAAAATTTGATCACCCATAGAGAGATTTTAAAAATTTTTAAAGATCTTTTATATATTTATAATTAAACCATATAATTTTAACTTCTTTAAACATATTTATCACAAATTACAAATCAAGTAGCACTTTGTCAAGGTTCTCGTCATATGGAGAAATTGTTTTGCTACGTTCAGTTGATTAAGCCGTACTTTTAAAGTGAAATACTACTAATCAATTATATATATATATATATGTCGTATGGAGAAATTGTTTTGCGACGTTCAGTTGATTAAGCCGTACTTCTAAAGTGAAATACTACTAATCAATTATATATATATCTTTAATGAGTAATATTTTTAAAAATTTTAATTGACTACAAGGCTACAAAGATTTATAATCAATTAAAAGTATTAATGAAGAAAATAGAATAAAAATTATTAAATTAGATTCAAAGGATGTTTTAAATCTTGCCCCAAACATTAACATCTTATGGCTACGTGATTAGGGTTGTCAAAACGACTATTTGTTCATGAACGGTTTGTGTTCGACTCGCTAAGCAAACGAACCGAACATTACACATTTTTTTAGCTTGAAATATAAACAAACCGAACACGAGGTGAGCCTGGGATCGCTCGTGTTCAACTCATTTACACCCCTAGATTTTAGTTTTTTAACTTTTCCCTCATTAGTCACCGAGATTTGCTCTGGAATTTTCAAATTTTATGGGCATCAGAAGGATAAGACAGACAAGAAACCAGACAAAAAGAAAATTCCCATTTTTTTCTTGCTCCAAACCTAAATTTTATTTTTCGAATTGATTTTTAAGTCACCACGATCAGCTGTGACTCAACGACGTGGCAACTGGGTCACGACTGATGTGGTGATTTTGCCTATTACACACACAAAAATATGTATTTAAAAACAATTATAAAAATGTTGTTTTGAAAATTTTGACCTTTATATAATGAATGTAAAATGTAATGTATGTGAAATATTTTGGAGTTATTTGGTTTTTTTTTTTTTTTTTTTTTTTTTTTTTACCTTTATATAATGAATGTAAAATGTAACGTGTGTGAAATATTTTGGAGTTATTTGGTTCTTTTTTTTTTTTTTTTTTTTTTTTTTTTGTGATAAGACGGACATTATAGTCAGAGAAAGTGAGCGGACATTTGAATTTCACATACAAAATAATTTTACATTGCATTTAAATTTCTTTTGAATAAGCAACTGAATTTCCAAAACTCGTGCATTTGGAATGCATTGCACTCCAAACACTGACATTCAATTAGCCTCAAAATTGAAAGGATTTGTCCGTGTCAAAGCACCTATTTGTCAACTCTAGATTAGGGATTTGCTCAGCTCAAAAGGAATTGTGCGATCCCATAAGAAACTTGCCCACATTGTCAAAGAAGCATGGTGATTTCATCTAATTAGGCAACTTTAGATAATTAGTTAGCGACCACTTATTTGGCCAAGAAAGCTTTTAAAGTACTCGCTCAAATGGCTATCAATGTATACATTAGAATCTAGATCACATCACTAACACATTTAATTATGTATTTATTTATTTATTTTTCTTTTAACTTTTCCAATAAGATAAAGAAATTGTATAATGAGTTATGGGAGGTCCAAATCTGTATAAGAGGTCATAGGAGGACAAACAAAGGATGTAGGGACATCTGTAGTACTCTAAACCATGAACTGTAGTGAATAGAATTCTTAGAGGTTTTTTGTCTAGAATTTATCTCTTTTTTGTTTTTGTTTTCTTTGGTTAAATCTTAAAGAACTAAAAACCAATTACTAAGAGAAACTTGACAACTTAAACGAACTATTTACTCATCCAAAAAAAACTTAAGTTTGTGAGCAACAAATAAAACATAAAAAAGAGGATCACTCAAGTGATTCAACTTTTTTTTTGGAATGAGGTTTATGTACAGTTTTAAGAGTGCAAATAATAGTTAGACACGATCAAATGAAAACAATACTCAAACACTAGGGTACTAACCACCGCACATGTCGTAGAATAAATTCATAATCCTAGTGATGATGAGAGTATATAACATCAATTAAGTGAGTCAAAATTTGGTGATTGTAGCTGAGGGATATGTTTTTATAGAAAGCCATAGAGGTGAACCCCTTAAAGAAGTTAAAGATATTGCATTTTAAATCATACCGAGGGAGGACAAAGAATGTTGGTAAAAAGACTTATTTTTAATTAGCTACCTCCACTTGATGTTGAAGATACCTTATATTATTACTTGTTCTTCATTATTTTATAAAAATTGTCGCTTTGATGGTCGTTTACCCACGTTTAGAAGCCATTAAAAAGCTCATAGACTCTTTTGAAGACGTGGTAGTAGCTCATTGAGTATTTTAAGAATTTTATTTCAAGATTTTAAAAAAATATATAATGGATATAAAGGACCTAGAGATTATAGTCTCCCAAGCCACCCTCACCAAAAATATTTAAGATAGTTTGTTTAGATATGCACTTAGTCTGCAATAACCGAGCATTGGTTGAATTGCTTGGACTCATCGATAGCCATGTCAATGATAAAGAGTTCAACAACATAATCAAATCTTCTATCCCAACTTATTTGGGATGGAAAGAAGGCTCACTAAGACAAGGTCCATAGAGAGGAGATTACACCTTGATAATCATCCTATCGCTAGAGAAAGAGTCATGAATTCAAAAGATCACTTCAAATCATCAGCCCTCTTAAAGCCTAATTGATTAAAATTAAGCCCTATTCGACAATATTTTGAGGATTTTTTTGAACCTCCATTATCTAATCATCACCTCTTTAGGAGTGTTCATAGAGGAACTTGTAGAGGCCATCCAAAATAAATACACTTCAAGCTACTGACACTAATGAGAATATGAGAACACTTGAGGGATACCCATAGGTATTAGGTAGTGTGCATTCCATTGGATCACATACATGACTAATAAATTTTGACACTTAAGAAACTTGGTAGAGGATTTAATCATGGTTAGAAAGCTAAATGAATTTCCTCTTGATATTTTTAACAGGAGGCAGAAGAAGGCACTAATGGAAGAATAGGTGGTGGCTACATGAAAAATTACAAGATGTTGGAGGGTGTTTACCATTCTGGGAGGGCCAAAGAAGAAGCAACATGACATATCAACCTTAAATGACTTCAATATGGAGAGGTGGACTCATCCGCAGCCAATTTTCCTAACATTAAGATCAAATCTAATACTTAATGTTCAGGTCGACATGCCCATGAGTATGATGACAATTATTAATGCAGTTAAGTTCATATGCCTAAATGCAAACTATCAAATAATAAGTTTATGATTAGCATTGGAAGCTCCACCAATATCATTTATAGGAGGGCATTTGATACAATAGATATTAGGTGTGCCCAACTGACATTTGTAGTAAGCTCATTCTATGGGTTTTCTTTGAGATAAGAATTATTAAAGGAGTGATCACTCAACCAATCACGTGGAGAGAACATGAGTAATAATATATAATCATAGCTTATTTTATCACAACTTATAGGCTTGCCATACATAAAGCCATTTTCGAAAGGCCTCTCTTAAGCATATTAAGTATGATCATGTCAACCACCATAATAAATTAAAATTTCTACTAAAAATAATGGAAGAAATAACAAGACAAAACATTTGATGCAATCATGGACCAATTTCATCAAGGCATAAGGAATTGTGTTAGAGCTAATTCTTTATTTGGAAGTGGATAAAAGTGCAAGTTTAAAAATCTAAACTCATAGAAGTCGAGGCTATTAAAGAACTCATAGGATAATTTTTGTGGTTTTAAAATTAAGACTCTACATTGGGACTACTTTGATGTTACTATTAAGCATTCTAAATCTGTAGCTACCAACGGTCATAAGCATGTTTATAAACTTCATAGTTTCCTTACTGGTTGGAAGCACAAAATTTTATCTGTTGTGGGTCATTTTCAATTTATTAAGTTTATTATTTAGAGTTATCTTGATTATTAGTTTAGCTTGACTGGTTTGCCTAAAGGTTTAATAAGGAAAATTACTTCTATGATAGCTAATTTTCTTCATTTTAATGATATAAATGATAGATTTCATACTTCAGCTTGGAAAAAATTAACTTTGCCTAAGCATAAGGGTGCCCTTGGTCTTATCCCTTCAAATACTATTATTACATTATGTAAACCTAAAATCATCTAATATTATACAATTCTACCTATTAATCTATATGGTGCTTAAATTACTATCTTTCCATTTGGAAAAATTCTCGTTTTGTTTCCACTGTTTTTTTTTTAGATATTAAAGTTGCTAAAAAGTGCATATCTTTAATTTTTCATGTTAATAATCTTAGTAAATAATTTTTTTTGTTATGACCATTTGTTTGTTTGCAATTCTTGGAAAGAGCATTTGGGAGATATCATTTTTACTTGGTTTAATCTTTCCAATACTATGTTCATGATATTATTTCTATTGGGTTTTGAAATTTTTATTTGAACATTAATGTTTCTGAATATTACGTCCATGCCATAAGTAAAATTCCTATTAGTAACGGTGCTTCATTTCTTTGGAATAACATGAATATTTACACTCATAAATTTGTTTACTTTTACTTATATGAGAGCATTCCTATTGTGGATTGGCATAAACTTATTTGGTTTAAAGGTTGAGCTATTAATTTGGCTTGTCATACTTGAAAATCTATTAATAAAGGTTTTAAAACTTGTGATATCCTCTACTCTAGGGGATCACTGTTAATATTATTTGTGTTTTATGTTCTATTGACATGGACTCCCAAAATCACCTTTTCTTTATTCTTCCTCTCATGCTCTTCTTAATAGTAGTGTTCCTAATGTCAATTTTTCCATTGCTCTTAGTAAATTTTAATTTTTATACCATTTTGATAACATATCTAATAAAAAACAAAAAAAAATCATCTTCTAGCTATGCAAGCTACTACTTGTTATATTGATTTAAGAGTAATTCCATGATTCTCAGGAATAATTACACTTCTTTGGATATGATTATACATTAAATTCATTGGATGATTATATATATTAATGGGAAATTGAAATTCTAGAGTAATACCCTTAATTTTATCAAGAATTTTTATCATTTATGAACATCTAATTTGGTTTATTTGTTTGGTTGGTTCCTTTTAGTTGGTTTTCATCTCCTAGATGTTTGGTTTTTTCTCCTTATGATTGATATAAAAAAATTAGTTGGGTTGGTATTTTTTTCAGGTTGTTGTTTATTTTATTCAATGTTGTATCTTTATGAATTTGGGCCGTTTTTTAAGATTTCTCTTTTACTTGCCTAGTGCTATTCTTTAATGATGTTAGAAACTAAAATTTTAGATTTTTTTTCCCAGATTTTACTGAGGACTTCTCATTTTCGATCTCCTAGATTGGTCATAATTAAGATGTTTTTTAACTATTATTTTCTCTCTTCCATTCTCTTTTCTCTTTCCCACCCGAGCTGTGATGATAATCAGCTATCACATTGGAACACAATTGGTATGGTTAGATATGTTTCTTTGCTTACCATCCTAACTTCTCATTTTCGATCTCCTGGATTGGTCATAATTAAGATGTTTTTTTAATATTATTTTCTCTCTTCTATTCTCTTTTCTCTTTCCTACCCAAGCCGTGATGACAATCAACTATCACATTGGAACACAACTGGTATGGTTAGATATGTTTCTTTGCTTACCATCCTTTTCTATTTTTGATTTGCTTCTATCTTCTAGATGGAGTACCATGTTTTTATAATCATAGTTACTCGACCAATTTAGAAATATTTCATTTTATATCCTTTTATGGCATTCTATTTTCTAATTTTCTTAGATATGTTTCATTATGCCCGGAAAGTGTTCCAATGACTTTGAGGGTAGGTAAGTTTCAAGCTCATTATTAATTCCCATTTTTTTCTTACATTCTTTTATTTGTTTTGTGAGCTTTTGGAGCACTTTGCTATTTATGGAAGAAACTGGCTTGGATGGCTTCTTCTATGGTTGGATTTTTTGTATTCAGAGATAAAGATCATTAATTGGCTAGATTGGGATTCTTCTATAGATGATTCTCTTTTAATTGACCGGATAATGGCTTTATGATTTGTGCAATTGGTCTCTTTTGATTAGCTCACCTATACTTGGTTGGATCATCATGCTTCAAGTTCAATTCCTAGGCTTGTTTGGTGTAATTTTCAGCCTTTTTGATGTTTCTCCTTTATTTATTGGAGTCTTTTCTTATTGTGTTGAGTTGTATTTTTCTGTGTTCTGATGATATTTTCACTTTGTATTTATTTTTTCTATTCAATAAAGCTTAGCATGACCCATCATCCTCAAAAAAAATATATAAAAAATAAATGCTTAGTTATCACAAATATATAAATATATATATATATATATATATATACATGTATAACACCTTCACTTCACATATATGTGAACATGTATGTATATGTATATTTGAACGTTATATATATATGTAAATATATGTGTGTATGTATGTAGGATACCGATCCCATAAATTTATATATGTATATGTGAACGTTATATATATATATACATATGTGTGTGTGTGTGTATGTATGTAGGATACCGATCCCATAAATTTAAGTTCAACTTCATAATTATAAAACGTTGACTTCACGAAACATTCCAAATAAACTCTTATACTAATGAAATATTTGTGTGGCACTAAAATCTTGTATAATTGACTTGACGGGCAAATTATTTCACTTCAAATACATCAAATATGTGGGAATTCCACAACATAATTAATAATGGAAAAGAGTAATATTTCGTTGATTTTTATTATTTAAATATTTCGATAAATGTGGACATTTTTGGGAAAAATTTTCTGTCCGGACGCCGAACGTAGCTCTACATGCAAACTCCAATATTATGCCGCCATGTGTGCCACATCACGGAGATTATTTTGGGATTAGTAAAATAGACCCACGTAAGCTATTTCGAGATTATTTTGGGATTATTTAAGAGAAATTCATATTTTTCACTTCAATAACTTAAAAATAACTCTATTATAGATTTCAGTTCAATAACTTAAAAATAACCTCAAAATAACATTCGCAGCTCCCCTTAAATAACCCCGAAATAACATTGCAGATATTATTTTAAGATTATTTCTGAATTATTGAAATTAAATATACGAGTCTCTTCAATAAACTTTAAATAACCCCGAAATAACATCTACGGTGTTATTTCAAGGAGGTTATTTCGGAGTTAATAAAATGAAACCGCACAGTTATTTCAGGGTTATTTCGAGGTTATCTCAGGATTATTGTGGAGCCCACAGTTCCACTTTAATATTTTTTAGATGGGCCCCACATAACACACATGACGACATATTACTGCAAGTCCGCATCTAGAGCCACGTTCAGAGTCCGGACAGAATTTTTTTCCTAAAATTGGAAAATTTATGACCATAAATTGGCTTTCTAATAATGTCATTGGAAATACACAAAATAATAAGAGAAGCCCAAAAACTATACAAAATCTAACCTATATTTAAGAAGCAGAAACATAGCATGAATCATACTAACCCTACATTACAATACCTGAAACATGGGGCTGCAAATTCCGCTACATCACAATACCGACCACTCAATTTCAGTAACACATGTCAGAAGCAGCCAAAAGTTCATGTTAAACCAGAAGCTCGTCGGCAAGAACAGCGAAGAAATTATAACCAAAATCATATATATTTGGCATTAATTAGGGAAAACATCACATGCCCGGTTCCACTACAATGAAAAATATAACCAATTTCATCTTTTTTAGGCAAAAACATAGCACTGTGCAAGGATCTGACAAAGAAAAATACATATTTATAAAAACAATCGTTCAGAAACTTGTAAGCACATGTGCTTGTTGGTGCATACCTTGGTAAAGCTCTTGGGTAGGCAGAGTAAGATGGAAAAGATGATCACACCTGCAGAATTGATTTCAAAATATGCATCATAAACTCAGGTAGAGTTATTATACAACCACCACACTCTGGATAACATGTTCTGGCAAGATACAATATCAGTTCCCATGGAGCCCTAAGCTGCCCAGGGTTATCAATTGGAGCAGCCAATTCCTGGTCTGGTCCTAGTCCTGAAAAGTCTGAACAATGACACCGGCAGGACAATACCGTTGTAGCTCTGTTTAGTTGGAGGAATTGAAAGAGAAAAAAGAAAATCTGATTTAATTGATGAGACATGTTAGATTTTCGTCAGGAGAGAATATGCAAACTATAATAATAATTTAATAAAATGTTCTTTCAATTATTTAATAGGAGTTAGTGAAGAAGTATCAATGAAATATTAAAAAAAAAAATACATGTCAAAATTTCCCAAGTAAATTTAATTATACATGGTAAACAGCTTCTTGATGCAAATCTTGCAGCCAGCCAGAGCAGTTAATGATCAAAAGAACTGTGTTGTAGCTTGGAGCTCCAAAGTTGCCTCTACCTCCTGCAAAGAAAGTCCATAGGAAAATAGGCTGAAGAATAAACAAAAGAGCTCATTTTTCTTCAAACTCTCTTTTTCCACCTCTTCTTTAATCTACACTTTCTCATTTTTTATCCTACCTTCTTCATTTGTTTCATTTCTTACTCCATACTGTAAATGATCATTGTTTCATCTCAATTTCCATCTCATTTTTCTATACTTATTTTAAAAATCCCAATTCTTTCATTTTCTATTTCCTAAATAACCTCTCTTTGTTGTCATAGGAACATATGTAATTGGATTATAAGCAATTCACTTTCAGCGTCATAGTAATCCCGTTAACCTCTGCAGTTTTGCCTTTCACTTGAGCAAGGCATGCAGTGTGGTGCTTGGAAGCAAGCCCTTTTAGTTCTGAAATTTGATAAGCAATAAGCAAAATAAATAAGGTAAACATATGTAATGTATGGAAGTTTTCACTCTGGGACGTGAAGATGGCGTAGCAAAATAAGACAAGGTATGAGTTATGATGGCAATGTTGTAGAAACAAAGATTGAATATTGGTTTTAAATGTTTAATTTAAAAGCCTCTTAAAAAGTTTAATCAAAGTAGGCTTCAACATGAGAAAGTTGAAGCCCATTGCAACGTTTTTATGAGCTCATAGTAGGCCAAGCTAGCGGGCATTTGAGAAACCCAGTTCAATCTGCACCCGCAACACATTATAACCAACCTAAGAACAAAATTTAAATCAATTATCTTTCATAGAGGGAAGGGACTACATTGTAATATTACAAAAAAAGTAAAATTCAGTCTCATGTTTATGTCAAAACTGTGCAGAATCCCCCCCAGCCCCCACCCCGACTGCCTCCTTAGAGATTATGACAACCATTGTGACAAACAGCTTCTTGATGCAGACCTTGGAGTCTGCCAGAGTAGGTGGTGATCAAACAACCTGTTTTGCAGCAAGGAGCACCAAAGTTGGCTCAACCTCCTGCAAACAAATTGCATACAACTAAAGAACAAAAAAAGAGCACTTTCGTCTTCAAAACTCTCTTTTTCCTCTTCTTCAATCCACTGTTCAATCATTTTTTATTCTACCTTCTGCATCTGTTTCATTTCCTGCTCCTCTATTCGCTAAATGAACTTTGTTTCATCTCCTCAGTTCCCATCAGTATTTTGTACTGTTTTAAAAAAGTACATTTTCTATCATTTCCACATTTCCTACTCTGTAAATGATCATTCTCACTTTGCTGTCACAACAACAGTTTAAATTGGACTGTAAGCAATTCACCGTCAGCTTCCAAGTGGTCCCCTTCGAACTCAACATTTTGCCTTCCACTTGGGCAAGGCATGCAGTGTGTGCTTGGAAGCAAGTCGTTCTGGTTGTGAATATTGATAAGCTAGAAGAAGTCTTCTCTTTTAAAAGGGATTGCTTTGGGTTTAAATCTTCGTGTCAGCAAGTCTCAGCAGTATTTTTCTATCACACAATAGGTCGATGCATTCTCCATTTCAACCATCCAACTTAAATTCTACTCATGACATCCCCATCTATAGCACCATCACATTAAAAATAACCTCAAATATCTAAAACATTCATTCCTTTCAATGACTTGATCACTCATTATTACAACTCAACCACAAGATCTACTTCTACCAAAATTACATTATATGTATTCAATTATAAATCCACTCAAACAAAAACCTTTAGACACTAAAGTTGCCTCCACAATTCAAGTTTTTTTTAACTCTCTAGTCTTTCCCACAAGAAAGATATCATCAACGAAAAGTATACACCCAGGCACATCCGACTAAAAATATCTAGTAAAAACCTCCATAACTAAAGCAACAAGATATGGGCTTAAAACAAATCCCTAAAGTATGCCAACTGAAATAGAAAAATACTTGGTCAATCCTCTTTGTGTTCAAACAAAAATAACAACTCTAATATACATATCTTTGATAACTTGAATATAAGCAATATCAACACCATTCTTTTCTAGAACTCTCGAAAGAACCTTTCTTGAAACCTTATCATAAGCTTTTTTTCTAAATCAACAAAAATCATATGTAGGTTCTTTTTAGTCTCTCTATATTTCTCCATCAAATCTCTCAATAAATGTACATCCTCCACAATAGACTTGCCCGGCATGAGTCTAAAATGATTTTGAGAAATTTTTTATATGATATCATAACCTATGTTGAATTACTTCTCCCATAATGTATGACATTAATGTAATCTTCTATAATTTATACATTTTATGTCTCCATTACTCTTAAAAATATAATAAAATACTATGTTCTTTGATACCTGAATTAACCCAAACAACAATAGGAAATCCAATATTATTACTATAAACAAATAAGCGGTTACAAATAACACACTTGAAAGGGAAAATACAACAACATGACAACAAAATATATGAAATAACAACACAGACACGACACAAATAATCAAACTAGGGTTGTATCTCGGTGGTGGTGGTGTTCGGTCAGGGTTTGGAAAGAGATAGTAAGGTGGGAGTGCGTAGCAAATGGGCATATATGATGACGGAACGATAGGACCTTGTAGTCGGCAGCAAGGTAGAATTTGGGTTCCTGGGGGCTGGAATAGCAAATATGTGGCAGGGAGGCAGTGCAAAAGGGTTGGGACAACGTTTAGGTGGCAGGGACGTAGTTTAGGATGACTGGGATAGTAGCTAGTGGGAAGGGGAGAGGATTTATGGTGGTTGCATAGTGAATGTAGAAACTGCATGAAGAATAGCATCGATAACTGTTTCGGGTGGCTACAGCAGGGAACGATGGCGAGGAGTGGTGTGGGGAGGATGCGAAAGGAGAATAAGGAAGATAAACACCACATCAGGAGAGGGATACAACTGGAGCATCACCCAAACTCTCAGATACAACCCAAGAAGAGAGAAAATTGATGTTGGCAGCTGTCTTAAACAACATATGCAAAAACTGAAAAACTCAAACAAAGAAATCACATAAATAAGCCCTTGATACTTAAGGATTGGATTCCCCTATAGAAAGGAGGCACCAAAAAATGTGGGGGAGTCGATCAACCCTTTCCTGTCTGTAGCAGTTCAGTCTAGACGAGATAAGTTATAGGATCAGCTCCCGCGGATTTTTACGCCCACATTATTGTAGCACTACTGTAGCAAGGATCACAAAATTGCTCCCAAGTAGCTCCCGCGTCAGTCTCCCATGGGGAAGCTTCGACCTAATTTGTCGAAACTTCTCTCTCCTCATGGTAGTCAGGTTGACCTCATTGAAGATAGCAGCAATGTCACAAGCTCCCAGTAAGTCAATCATGTAAGCGTTGTTATTCCAAAACACATCCTAATAGAATAAATATCCATCTACCATTGACACAACTTGAGCTAGAGCAGCATAACCTAGATTCCAAGAGCTAGACCCCGAGCAAGTAAATCAACAATCTACTTTTCCCATTCCTCATACTCAACAGGATGTTTATGATAAACAAGTATATTAGGATGAATCAACTTTGGGATGAAATCAAGGGTAGGGTAGACCATATTGAAGTATAACAAATCAAAAGAGGCGTCTTCTTTTTCACTTTTAGGACTTAAATCCCATTGTAGAATTTTATTCTCCATCAATCGCCTAAGATAATTTTCGATATTGTGGTTCAACCCTCCTGTCTGGACATTTGATGTTAGGTCCCTGTCTAGGCAATGTTTGAATAACTCTTTCAAGAAATAACTCAAAATTTTCTCATCTTTCATGAGTTGGACCTCTCTCAATATGGGCAATTCAGAAAGTAGACAATATATCTGAAAAGCTTGAAATCTTCTTATTTAAATTTGCTTTGTATCGAGTAGTAGCTCCTCAAATTCATAGCCCCTTTTGGATATTCAATGTCAACCCTACTGATGTTCCTCCGACCGCGTGCAAAAGTATTGTTTAAGGAACCATGACCTCATATTCTGCATTAATCTCATTACCTTGAACTTACTATAATATAAAACAACTACTGTCAACTCAACTGGAGTCTCTCTCTTGGGTTCAATTGAAATCAATAACGACTCTTTCTCGTCGGGTGGAAGTTGAGAAACCTCTCTGAAATCTTAATTTTCTCTTGAATCGCTATTTATCTCTTCAATTGCTCTCTGGTCCATGAAAGAGCTCATTCTCCTGGTTGTGCAATCTGATTTGGTATGCATAAATCCATCGCACAGGAAATAAATCCAAACGGAGATGAATTTTGACATATTAGTTGGTGTAATTTTGACATATTAGTTGGTGTTTTTTGCTTTCCCCTCTGAACTAGAGTACTCATGTGAGGTCAACTTAGATCCTCCCCTGGGTGTACTCTAGATGTAGGATCATGGGGTTGTAGCCTGTCTATAAGATGTGGTGGTCGCCCGATAATGTGATATCTCCACATTTGAACATCAAGTCTGCAGTGAGATGGTAGGAACTGACATTGCATCTTCCATTTCATCTTAGACCAAGTAATAATTTTATCTATTCCTTCTCGTCGTCATAGGTTCTTTAGATTGTGCAACCAAAATAATGTATTTTTCTTTAGCTTGTTGACACTAGTTTAACCATTATGTCCAGTGGGTCGTCCTAACACTCGAAGACATTCCAAGTTCCATATCCGCTTGATGGCCTCAACCGGATTCATGTGGTTGTCAAAATATGACAAATGCACCTTCAAAATTATGGTTTCTCAGGTATTTCAAGTCACA